CTGTACATAAAAATCAAAAGCTATATTCTGTTTTTGAATAACAATATCAAAGCCGGAGACGTTTAAATATCCAGGTAAACACATCAAGCTAATGGTGTAAATATGACTGTTTTACGTATCACATCACAATCTACCTTCTTATATGTAAGTCTGTGACATATACCTAACATCACTAATCGGTTTCATCAGAAAGATAAATATAATATAAGTAGGCTGAAAATAAACTTCAAACAGAGGATTCGTGGAATCATTCGATCGCCTATGTAGATAATGTAGCACAGATTACGTATGTATATTATACAAAGTACCTTCAGAGACCTTACGTCTACTTCAAATGACATTTTACACACAAGATGTTTGATGTAAAATCTTATAAGATAAATACAGAACTATAAATTCCCCTCGTCATACACAGCACCAGTGGATGTTGTCAGGTATACAATGTCTATGTATGTGATGTATTTTTATAGGTCATGCTTTACTTGATATTCAAAACTTACGTGTCGTCGATCGTTTACCTGACATGTTGATAAAACTAGAAATATATATGTACCCCTGTACTCACCGGGTAAAATGTCCAGTATATATCATTCTCGGTTTTTATTCGCCATCAGCATCACAGCGTCCTTCTGTCTCTGTCATCAGTGTTGATACATAACAACATACCTACAATTATTGATCACAATTTCTCACCTGAAAAATACATTCCACAGGTAAGAGCGATGACATTCCTGTCTCTTTGGCAGCTGGTACGGATATGTAGGTAGAGATCAATAGACCTAGGTGAGAACAGGTGAGCGCGGGGGGACTCGCTACACACGACGACAATTACTCGTTTTACCGAGATTGCAGTTACGTCACGTTAAGTAACAGAAACACCATTGTCCGGGTAAATCAAACAGCCTGGAATAATGACTTACAAAATGTCACCTACCTCTCAACTGACCACTCGGACACTACGCCAGCTTTAACAAAAGACTCAGGAATGTCGTTTCTTAAAAATGAACAATTCAGAAAGTGGAATTTGTTAATTTTGTAGATGTAGATAGCAGTTTCATCAAAGCAAGCGATATTTTTATTCATAAAGAATATTCTTTGGGGAGTAAATGGGAGTTTTCATATGACAAATTATAAACAATTGTTTCTTGTGCGCGTAGGAGTAACCCTGTCGTGTTATGTGTATGACAGTTAAACGTTGATAATCCATGCAGCAGTATTTTGCTTTTCATGGGAATCGTATTACGTTCGAAAGATTGTGAAGGCCTTGTGTTGTTAACCTCGGGGTCCGGAGTCTCTTACAGCGGAAATACCGCTTATCATTATGAACACAAACCATTGTACAACGAAATGGAAAGTAGGACTTAATTAAGATGTCATTTTACTCACTAAATGACTCCGACTGACCGGTGTCTAAGAGACCACTGTGTCCTGATCAGGCATGTGCCATTGTAACGAGGCTGTTCCATTTTATTATGAAATTCGATTTTTTGGAAAATGTGATGCCCAGATCCAGGTAGTACTAGTATTCTGGAACCAATAGGTCTATATGAGTGTGTATATTTGTTTGCAGGGTTTTTATCTCTCAATAAATAATCAAGGTAAATTTGGAAAGGAATCTGTTTGCTTTAACTCAAGGATAAATACCTCACCGAACAGCATGAGGGAAGACCGTCACCACATGATGGTCAAAGCAAATGAGTTAGAGCGCAATTTCCATAGACTTATAATGTAACTTTGAAAGTAACAAGACAAGACTGTAACAACAGATATATATATATCAAAATGTTCCTCAACAATCAGTCCATCCTATCCCCAAGCCCGTCCCCCATCTACAAGCCCGTCCCCCATCTCCAAGCCCGTCCCCCAACCCTATCCCCCACCCCTTCTATCCCCCGCCCCCAGGGCTGCAATAGGTCTATTGCATAACAATTTGTCCATCTACTGATTTTTATTTTAAAAACTTCCATATAATTTAAGTTCAGTAAATGAGTATCATAAACTTCTTGACTCATTTTCCACTTACTCAGCAGAAATTTCTGGGAGACTTAACCACAAAATAGTTGTAGCCACATTTTTGAAATGTATTATTATAACGGTTCATGTATTTTCATTGGAATTTAGCGTTAATGACGAACCTTATTTCTCAAAAGCAATCGTTTTTCTTTTTGAATATTATTATTTCAAATAAAGAATGATAATAACATAACACAATACTCATTATCAGAACGACTCTTTGGGGTTTTATAAATTGTTCCATACACGTGTCCCCGACCGAGTGACGATATATCTGCCCTACATCTATGTCCCGCACCACCAAACACCACAGTGATATAATTGGGATGTATTTAGCCCTATAGATAATCCTACTGGGACACTGCCATATAGGACAAACATGTGTATGATCTTTCTACCCACACAGATATGGACCGGGTACGGCCCCGGACGCCCACAGATACAGACCGGGTAGGGCCCCGGACACGTTCCTGTGTATGTTGTAGGTGAACATACACACAGACTAGATAGAGTCTGGACCTTGAACTGGCCTGAATCTACCATGAAAAACATCGATCTGTATTTTTATTGAAAATGGTGAGAATTGTTCACTCTCCATTACCATTGTGAATTGCCATGCAAAGTGATCGTCCCTCTTTCGGAGTTATTGCCCTTGTTTGGAATGTAAGCAGGCGTGCTACATTGTTTCAACAAAAAATGCCAAGTATAATTTAGAATATGAAGGCTTATCTGTACGTCAGTCCGTGGCATCTATTTTTATCACATATTTCTCAATTAGATTTTGAGGGTGCAACCCGTCTCAAATTTCCTGACAAACGAGAGACCAATAAAGATGTAAAAATCACAGTAGCTCTTGTTCATATTACCAATCCCAACTTTGTTTCCACACGTAAATATAAGGAACGGAGAAATTTATACCTGTTCAATAAATCAAAATTATACTCTCGTTTATTGTTTCATGAATGGACGAAGTTACTATTATCGTCATCTTAATGTATTTTTTACGTGTTCTATTGAACAGTCGTATCAAAATGACGCCAGTCCGAAATACCCTACAGTACGTTTGATCGGCTGATGGTTATATACATGGAAAGCGATCCGTATGTATAAATTCTTCACTTCCTGGTTAAACAAAAATATGGAAAAGTAAAAAAATCTACTTTAAAATTATCCACAGAGACAGAGCCATGGGCTACAAATAAGGGAATCACGAGGCTTGTCTTTCGCGTCCGTTCAGACCCAGTGAAATATCCGTGTTCAAACCATGTTCACCTCTACTAGTTACAGTGGGCGGGTGCGTGCTTAGAGAAGCATATCTGGAATTCAGAATATTTAGAAAATTTTAATTTTTGTTCGTTTAGTATTTATTGTTACGTTTAAAGGTAAGGATATGAAGTATGAACTGGTTTTTTTTATTTTTAGATATCTACTTGGGTCACAATATATACCGTGTAACCCTATACCCCGTACCTTCCCCTAACTGATGATTTCTACATACCAGCTGGGCAGATAAAATTGTACTATCCGGACCGCTTTTCTTGTCGCTGATTAGGTATCCGATATCAGATGCAAGTCACACACGTGAAATTACAGTTGTAGACTAATTATAATTTAAACACAAGTTCATGACAGACAATAAGTGTTGGGTTGTGACCTACACAATAAACTTTCCGCGACAGTGCGACTTTTTTATGCCACAGTTGGCCAACCCTGTTATATATATATATAATAGACTTCATTTATTCAATAGTATTAGTACGGACAAGCAAATTATCAAATTTTCGTGGCAACCTGCCCCTTTATCAATACACAAATATTACATAAATTACATCACATACATAGAACATAAAACAAATACAAAGTTATAAATCTAAATGGAGAGCGGTGGTGTAAATTTAGGTGTCTCGATAATCATATATATATACATATATACAGTGCTACCACTGGACTAAAAGTTAGTCAGACGTAAGATCTAATGATGAGATAAGTTCACACATGCCAATACTGAGCGTTAGTTGGGAGTAACGAGACATAAGACGATGTTGTCTAAAACACGTCTTATCCCATCAAAGTTATCTCCCCTTGTTTACAGATGCTGGGTGTCTCAGACGATGCATCGTTTACGTTTTTAGTCATACAAATAAGGATCAACGGAGCCTAGTGTCCACTTCTGTAGCGGCACTGAAAATACTCAGTGTGTAAAAAGGATAATCGTAATATTAAACATCATAATTCAATACTACTTCCTATTCCCTTTTTGGATTCTTCAGCAACCTCAGTGAATCCGAAAAAAAAACATGCTTTATAAATACTACCAGACTTGGTGAAGAAATGAAGACAAACACAATATTTTGAGCATTCTTGACTTTAAAGTGTTCAATTCAGTTGTGAAAGTCTTGACTAAAACATGGGCCGCTTTGACCGTCCCGAGTTTACAGTGTAGTACCTTCAGAAAACCTGACAGTCTTCTCACATGATAATAGTGGTATAGCCCTAGTCACTAGCATGATTACAAAATTATATACTTAAAATATCAAATATTTATCCCAATCAACTTGTAAGTGATTCGATGGTAATATAGAAAAACAATTTTGCTTGAGTAGACATTAAGTAGTAGCAGATATATATAAGATTGATTATGACGGGTTTTGACCTAAAGGTGGAACACATTTATAATAGATTTCAGTTCTTATGTGGAAAATCAATGAAAACAGATCCCGAATGCTTTTTGATATATTTAACAGCGTGATATGGAAAAAAAAGTGAATTGCAAAATAAAAAAAAAAAGATTCCAGCTGAGCATCGAATTCTGAGGTACAACTCCCACACAGGAAAATATATTGTACTGTCAACCAATCAGACAGCAGAACGTGTGTCAAAAACTCTCCACAAAAGGAGGCTAGGAAATCACCAATATCTCTTCGGTTTACTCGGATGTTATTATAGTCATGCATAGTAAAAACTAGAGACACTCGAACAATTTGCTCAACATGGCGTGGCCGGTAACTGATGTGTTGACGAAAATGTTTTCATTCTTTATAATAGCATTGTTGATCGATAAAATCACAGGTAAATGATAACGGTCTTATCATATTTACAAGCTTTTTGATAGAGAAACTTTTATCCAATTTAACCTAAATTATATCTCGTTTACATGACAAACCTAGGTGTGTTTACATTTTTCAATAACTGACATCGTGTCACTTAAGACTTCAGCTATTCATGATCAGCTTTCGGAGAAAATCGGTCTTGGGTTGTGATTTTGGGATGTCTGTGATCATCAAGATTTTTTCTAGTTTGTTATGATTTGATAGTCAGTTAACTGTGTACATTGGGATATATATATATATATATGTATCAGTGTGATGACCAACTGAAAAGAAAGTTTGTATTTATATTGAATTTCTGTACATTTTCAGGTTTTGATTATGACTATGTTACATGTGGATCTAGTTTAAAGCTATTAAATAGTTACCACAATGTTCGCCTGCATTCTCATGATGTCAAATATGGCTCTGGTAGTGGACAACAGGTAGGTTGTATTCATTTAAATATGAAGAAATGCACCCCTCATACTCAATATGAAATATACTAATTTAATATGTTCAAAAATTGATGTAATTGTATCTTTTTGAAATGTGTAAATATGTAGTTTTGACAGAAGCATGTTCTACAGTATATTTTAAATCTATCTTTGTGCTTTCTCTTTTTTTTTCAATACTGATACTGTTTAGCTTTTCATGAATGCCTTGTCAATATTTCTACATTGTTGATAAGTTTGGTTTGTTTTACAGTCAGTCACAGCTGTTGATTCCTCCGATGATCACAATAGTTACTGGCAGGTCCGAGGTAAAACTGGTATTGGGTGTACACGAGGGTAAGTGTTTGAAATATTACGGAAATTAAAAGCTGCTTGTTTATGTTATCAGATACAACCAAGACATATGTGACTTTATATTACAAACAATTTTGACATAAATGATGTTACATATAAATTTGACATAACCTATATCACAGACAAGTGAGATTTTATGTTTGGTATGATCAGTTGTGACATCATTTCGTTTTACAGTCAGCCAGTAAAGTGCGGACAGACAGTGAGGCTTATGCATCTAAATACACGACGCAACTTACACAGCCATCACTTCCAGTCACCACTGTCACACAACCTGGAAGTGAGCGCCTTTGGAGAGAACGGCGAGGGAGATGAAGGTAGGATTCAGTCAGTGTATGACATCAAAAACTCCAGTGGTCATATTAAAATAACTGTTAAGAAATTCTACCCTTTCTGTCTTACAGCTTTACGCCATTATAGTTGTCTGTTGCATGGAGTACTTTCATTTTCTAAAGTTAAACCTTTTTAAGTTAAAGTTTTAAGTTAAAAGTGAAATCATTTATGTATAAAGAAAGTTAAAATTAACTGAACATGAAAAATGAAATGTTTCTACTAAATGTTATTATAGACGATATATTGCCAGAAGCCAGTCTGGCAAGTCTTTGATAAACTTGCTCACTGGGTTGAATGGGATTTTTAGTTGGCCACTTCAAATTATATAAACTATAATTTCAATACATTTGGGTACAATTATGAAGTATATCTCATATCCTTCAGGTAAGCTTTACACTTTTGTTATTGAGGTATGGTGTAATGGTAATATATTATTTTACATAGGAACAAAATGAAGGAAGATGACAATTATTGACTTGTGCCCTGTCAGGGCTTCAAACTTGTGACCATTAGCTAAGAATTGCTCAACCATTAATTGTTTTTAGTTGCCAGATTGATAATGCTTTTAAGCAAAATTTGATGTATACATCATTTCCTACCCTCAGTCTAATGCAATAGGATAAAGTGGTTTTTCAATAGTAAGTTGAGTCAAGATGCAAAAAAGAGAAAAATAAACTTGAATTCAGGACTCAGATATCTACATGAGTCACAAAACTTGAAGAATAAGACATCAGAGCAAACATGTGAACAAGGTGCTATTTGATATGTGATACTGGTACTGTTTCTGTACACAGGTGACAACTGGGTGGTTGTATGTCCCGGACAGCACTGGAGCAGGAAGGAAAAGGTCAGGATCAGGAATGTTGTCACAGAAAAGTAAGTAACCTTCCACCTCGTAAACATCATATTTTACAGAAATCTTTTTACCTCACATTAAGCAGAAAATACAATCTTTACAGAAAGTAAGGAACCTTTGACCTCTTAAACACATTCTGTACAATAAATAGGTACGTTCTGACCATATGAACACAATCAGTACAGAATTAAACAGTACAAAATGGGAAATCATTAATTGTATGTTAATTCATTTCGTGGGTATGATAAGTCAGCAAATTCATATGTTTATAAACTGTTAAAATTAGTATATGCAGATTTATTGTGCAAAATGTTTCCACAAAATTAACTGTCCACATAAATCTTTTTGATAAATATCGGATTTCACATTAACTTTTGTCTCTATTGACCAAATCTGTTTAATCTGTGGAGAATTAAGGGGTTATCTTTGGTCATATAATTGTCATGTTCAACCAATTATGAAATGAAATTTGACTTTAAAATGTCTGTGCAGTATTGGCCATCTTGTTTGACACTGAAAAACAACATAATTGCTACTCTGAACAGAATTTTAGTACCTTTTTCCAAACTTTGTTTCTATTTCAATGCCCTGAAGCTCTGTGGATATATTGATATCAGACATCATATTAATCGACTGGCTCTGCCAACAGAGCCAATGAAACAAGTTCCTTCAACTTTGTTACAGTTGGCTTACAAATGTACATGTCTTATTTCTTGTTCCAGTTACTTACATGTGGCTGGTGACACCTATGGACGCCCGATTCATGGACAAAGGGAGGTAAGCGCATATCCATCACCATCAGAACTGAACTACTGGATGGCTAAGGAGGGAATATATGTGAAACCAACATCGGAGTCTCCATCTACATTCAACCATGATGAGTTATAGACAAGAAAACTGTACAAAGCGCTTTGTCTCACAAGTCATTCCTAAATGAAGATTTCTAAACTGAAACAACAAGGAATGAAATGAAGACTATCATTTATTTTTTGTTAAAATTGATTATACCTGAACGTGAAAAAAAGTGGATGTTAGTGAATAATGATAAATTACATGCTTAGAGTGAAGAGGGAGGTATTTATATATAAATTTACAATGTGGATTTCTCATAGGGATTCAAGTATATTTTGTTTGGGAAACTTCACACCCATTTATATGGTTCCTTCCCTCAAACTTTTTATTGCTCTCCACAATAGAAGAGTTCCACAAAGGTAAACAATTCATCTTATACACTCTGTGATACTGTAGCTATTACAGGTTAACCATAGTATATGTTGTCCTTTCTGTTTTGACAAAGTTGATTCAACACAGGGAAATCTTTTTTTTTTTAAGAAGTCACTGAGTGAAATTTTTTGAGGAATGGAAATATTCAGTGTACATTTATCTCACCATTTCAAAGGTGAAAAGAATAATTAAGAAAGAAATGTCTTAATCATAGGTTAAGCTTTTTTACCTATCGATACCAGATTTAAGAACACTTTCACTTTTCACAGATGTTAGTATTGAATATGCAAGGTAAAAATGATTATGCATTGGATTTGGATGTTAAGACATCTTATAATATAGAGGTATCATATATTTGTCTGTTGCTTATTTTTTGTTTTTTCCAAAAATGCTGTTTTGTTTTGGGACTTGTTTTTGTTGATAGATAATATTCCTGAGATTCAGATTCGTTAAAATGCATGTCCTTTACTGTTTGGCATTAGATTATGATACCCAAAAATCAACTGAAAATAGGCACCCACAAAAATTAATGATTTAACAGTACCACAAAGAACACTAAATGCTGGTGACTAGATTAGAACTCTTTGAAGTGTAACAAGCACATTCAAATTGCATATTTTTGTTTCAATTTTCAAAATGCTGTTCTTATTATGTATAACCCAACTTGGATATAGGGGTTAGATATTTATGTTTTTTTCTAAGTGTCTGTTCATGTGTCCAACTCATTAACCTCTTAACATTTATTTCATATTCACATCATAGCATCATACCACCAAGGTCTATCCCTAATAAGATTTTGGTAGTTATTAGTCAAGGTATAAAAGGTCAAAGTTCACCCCATGACCTTTTTGGTAACCTTTTGCACAAGATTAGGAAAAGGGAAGGATATCTATGTCAGCCTCTGCTCATTTTGACTCTATTGATATAACTTATAATAAGTGATGATTGATCATTTTGTTCCTAACTACAGAGGTATGACTAATACATCATGATGTTTTTCGATCGATCGTAAAATCCTTTTAAGACCTCGTGGGATTTTTTGTGATTACACAATTGTAATTTTTCCTGAAAGTCAGATAACAGCTATTTCTGATCATAGCTATATATTCCAAATATTATGCACCATATTTTTGTGAATGCTTTGCTTGAGACTTCCTGTTAAGGTTAGAACACATGAAATGGTGATAATAACGATAATGATAAACTAATCCCAACACTGCACTGTATTCATGAGATTACATGATCACTGTATGTTGTATATTATCAGAGATATCATTCATGTTGAAAATGTTGAAAAACAGGGAAAGCCATGGTTACAAAACATATATTTTTCTGTGTAATATACTAGATGTGTATGTGATGATAATAATTTCTTTTGAATGACATAATGTACATGTTTGTTATAAAAGTTTTTGTAAATTATGTGTAAAAGTGTTCATGCACCGATGTGTGTTGTCTCCTGCTTCGTCACAAAATTGTACATGTCTCAACTAAAATTAAATTTGAAAAATAAAACTGATTGTTTTCTGGTTAATATTCATCTTTGAGATCTACTCTACACTGCCAGAATAAAAAGTAAAACCTTCTATATACACAGAAATATCACTACCTGTTCCTGTCACCATGATTACAACACTATATTTACAACACTATATTTAAGAATAAAATCTTCGTTAATTTGACCACAACATGACCATCCTGCCAGAATTGGTGTATAGTAAAAACTGTGCAGTCTCGAACACATTTGGCTCTGATGTCTACAGTTCTTATTGGTTAATTGGAAAATCAGATGTTTATGTGAGAATATTATGCATGTAGATTTCGAACCTAAATCTATTTGAGAGAACAGGAGAGCAGAGGTATTTTTATCTGTGTTTTTTGTAACATGGTACATACACATTGTACATAAGCATAATGGGAAATAACTCTGGCACACCCGACTCAGGTGGCTCGTCATATTACAGAATTTCTTGTTGAGTACAATTTTGCTTTTAAGATTGTTATTTATAAAAATCTTAAATTGAGAAGCTGTGAATGAGAGAGAATGCTTTTTTAATGTGTGTTAAAGTTTCAATGAACTGAAATTGGGAATATGTTTGCTTCAAAAGGTTTACTCAAGCACAGGATTCAAAGATATGTTATGTGTGGATTCTTCTTTTGAATAAGTAGACACTGTAATTTATGTACCAGAGTTTACATAATCAAAATTGGTGTATTTTCTTTAAGGGGTAGTTAATGTGATAAGTTAAGAGTGTGTAATGTAATTTGGTAACACCACTTAACAGATTTCATTTGTTTTATCATGAATATTTTTTTGTACAAAAAAGTCATACTTTTCTTGAATAAATATGACAAAATGAAATCAGTATTGGCTTGTCTTTAGTTGTTAAACACTAACCCAGCTTTTCTAAGATACAAATATAATGATCTTCAGTAAGATCCAATTTCAAAATGGCTGCCATGGTATCCATCTTGTTTTTGCTATGTATTAGTATTGTTCGTTTTCTTGAGAGCATATCAAGTGTACTTTGTCATTTAGTATTATAAAACTAGCTTAGTGGGTATATCCTGTGAAGGCAAAGTTTGGATCGGTTGAAATTTTGGTCATTCTGACCTATATTAATTTCTAATTTTGATTGCATTCCTAGAAAAGCCTTTGTATTATTAAACCTTGTACCCTGTTTCATGAGGAATCGCCAAAGCCGCTAAATAGAAATCCTGTTTACATAGAAATGTTGTTTTGTGTTTCCAACCCTATTTCATTTAAGGTTATCAAACACGCAATAAATGAACTTCCTTGTTGATGATAGAAAGATGATAAAAAGCATTTCATATTTCATATAGGATTATCAAATTTGATGTAGCAAGGTCATTTTGGGCAGGATGAGTGTCTTTGAACATATTCAAGTCAAAGTGATCATCCACATTTTACAACCAGGGTGAAGCTTTTCACTCAATATTAATCTCTGTCCAAGGAGTTTGCCAACACCACTCTTGTTCTTCTGAATGTGCAAATATACTTTCTTATCTTTTTAGTTGAAATTAACAGAAAATGTAAGACTTCAATGATCCTTGTAACAATAAGTTCTTACTTTATCAGTGATATCAATAATATGTGATTATCAACATAAGTGTTTTTATGTATTATAATTTGTATAATATTACGATGCTTTAAATATTTCAAAACAAAAATTAACAAAAACTTTTCCTCATTTATATCAGCCTTACTTTACTCTTTCTGTTGAGGTTCCATTCCTGCAGTGAATATGTGCCGTGATGGGTTCTGATAATATATTATTATTCTAAAATATATAAATATTGTGTGACCAAGCAAGGATTCTCTCCCCTGACGAGCAGAGACCAATGTCTCATTGATTTCATTGTTAAAGAGATCAAGCTCAACAACATGAGGGATCTCTTTGTTATAGAGGTCACACTCTACCCCAGGAGGGATCTCTTTGTTATAGAGGTCGTACTCTACAACAGGAGGGATCTCTTTGTTATAGAGGTCACACTCTACAACATGAGGGATCTCTTTGTTATAGAGGTCACACTCTACACCAGGAGGGATCTCTTTGTTATAGAGGTCACACTCTACAACAGGAGGGGTCTCTTTGTTATAGAGGTCACACTCTACACCAGAAGGGATCTCTTTGTTATAGAGGTCACACTCTACAACATGAGGGATCTCTTTGTTATAGAGGTCACACTCTACACCAGAAGGGATCTCTTTGTTATAGAGGTCACACTCTACAACATGAGGGATCTCTTTGTTATTCACATATGAGAGATCTCACACTCTACACCAGGAGGTATCTCTTTGTTATAGAGGTCAAACTCTACACCAGGAGGTATCTCTTTGTTATAGAGGTCACACTCTACACCAGGAGGGATCTCTTTGTTATAGAGGTCACACTCTACAACATGAGGGATCTCTTTGTTATAGAGGTCACACTCTACAACATGATGGATCTCTTTGTTATAGAGGTCACACTCTACACCAGGAGAGATCTCTTTGTTATAGAGGTCACACTCTACACCAGGAGCGATCTCTTTGTTATAGAGGTCACACTCTACACCAGGAGGGATCTCTTTGTTATAGAGGTCACACTCTACAACATGAGAGATCTCTTTGTTATAGAGGTCACACTCTACACCAGGAGGGATCTCTTTGTTATAGAGGTCACACTCTACAACATGAGGGATCTCTTTGTTATGGAGGTCACACTCTACAACATGAGAGATCTCTTTGTTATAGAGGTCAAACTCTACACCAGGAGGTATCTCTTTGTTATAGAGGTCAAACTCTACACCAGGAGGTATCTCTTTGTTATAGAGGTCACACTCTACACCAGGAGGGATCTCTTTGTTATAGAGGTCACACTCTACAACATGAGAGATCTCTTTGTTATAGAGGTCACACTCTACACCAGGAGGGTCACACTCTACACCAGGAGGGATCTCTTTGTTATAGAGGTCACACTCTACAACATGAGGGATCTCTTTGTTATAGAGGTCACACTCTACACCAGGAGGGATCTCTTTGTTATAGAGGTCACACTCTACACCAGGAGGGATCTCTTTGTTATAGAGGTCACACTCTACACCAGGAGGGATCTCTTTGTTATAGAGGTCATAGAGGTCACACTCTACAACATGAGGGATCTCTTTGTTATAGAGGTCACAGAGGGATCTCTTTGTTATAGAGGTCACACTCTACAACATCTCTTTGAGAGGATCTCTTTGTTATAGAGGTCACACTCACAGGAGGGATATCTTTGTTATAGAGGTCACACTCTACACCAGGAGGAATCTCTTTGTTATAGAGGTCACACTCTACACCAGGAGGGATCTCTTTGTTATAGAGGTCACACTCTACAACATGAGGGATCTCTTTGTTATAGAGGTCACACTCTACACCAGGAGGGATCTCTTTGTTATAGAGGTCACACTCTACAACAGGAGGTATATCTTTGTTATGGAGGAGGGATCTCTTTGTTATAGAGGTCAAACTCTCAGGAGGTATCTCTTTGTTATAGAGGTCAAACTCTCATCTCTTTGTTATAGAGGTCACACTCTACACCAGGAGGGATCTCTTTGTTATAGAGGTCACACTCTACAACATGAGAGATCTCTTTGTTATAGAGGTCACACTCTACACCAGGAGGGATCTCTTTGTTATAGAGGTCACACTCTACACCAGGAGGGATCTCTTTGTTATAGAGATCACACTCTACAACATGAGGGATCTCATTGTTATAGAGGTCACACTCTACACCAGGAGGGATTTCTTTGTTATAGAGGTCACACTCTACACCAGGAGGGATCTCATTGTTATAGAGGTCACACTCTACACCAGGAGGGATCTCTTTGTTATAGAGGTCACACTCTACACCAGGAGGGATCTCTTTGTTATAGAGGTCACACTCTACAACATGAGGGATCTCTTTGTTATAGAGATCACACTCTACAACAGGAGGGATCTCTTTGTTATAGAGGTCACACTCTACCCCAGGAGGGATCTCTTTGTTATAGAGGTCACACTCTACAACATGAGGGATCTCTTTGTTATAGAGGTCACACTCTACCCCAGGAGGGATCTCTTTGTTATAGAGGTCACACTCTACAACATGAGAGATCTCTTTGTTATGGAGGTCACACTCTACAACATGAGGGATCTCTTTGTTATAGAGGGCACACTCTACACCGGGAGGGATCTCTTTGTTATAGAGGTCACACTCTACACCAGGAGGGATCTCTTTGTTATAGAGGTCACACTCTACACCAGGAGGGATCTCTTTGTTATAGAGGTCACACTCTACAACATGAGGGATCTCTTTGTTATAGAGGTCACACTCTACAACATGAGGGATCTCTTTGTTATAGAGGTCACACTCTACACCAGGAGGGATCTCTTATAGAGGTTACTCTACACCAGGAGGAATCTCTTTGTTATAGAGGTCACACTCTACACCAGGAGGGATCTCTTTGTTATAGAGGTCACACTCTACAACATGAGGGATCTCTTTGTTATAGAGGTCACACTCTACACCAGGAGGTATATCTTTGTTATGGAGGTCACACTCTACACCAGGAGGGATCTCTTTGTTATGGAGGTCACACTCTACACCAGGAGGGATCTCTTTGTTTTGTTCTGTTAAAAGAGGAAAACTTTGACAATGATTTTGTGTTAATTTTTTACTTATGAATTTGGTGTTGGTGTTCAATGATATAACTATAATTGTGTTTATTTACCAATAGGATGTGTTTAAATACACAGCACCGAACTCATTACCGAATCTCAACTACAAACGGTTACGATTTAGTAAATACCAAAATGTTAAGAATGTGTCAATTTATTATCATTCTGACTGGAAAATATCTACGTTTTCGTAATGAATCTCTCAACTAAATTCATACATAATTTACAACCTAGATTTGAAAAGCTATATTCAGCATATGACAAGAGACCAAATTTTGAAACGCCAGTTTGTATTTATAGATTTGATATCATG